CTTCTTGGCAGAATGGGGTTGGACTGGATGATGGCCCAGGAGGTCTCTTCTAACTCTAGGATTCTAGGATTCAGAGGCTGGATGGCCATCTGCCAGGGGTGCTTTGAATGCAATATTCCTGCTTCTTGGCAGAATGGGGTTGGACTGGATGATGGCCCAGCAGGTCTCTTCCAACTCTAGGATTCTAGGATTCAGAGGCTGGATGGCCATCTGCCAGGGGTGCTTTGAATGCAATATTCCTGCTTCTTGGCAAAATGGGGTTGGACTGGATGATGGCCCAGGAGGTCTCTTCCAACTCTAGGATTCTATGATTCAGAGGCTGGATGGCCATCTGTCAGGGGTGATTTGAATGCAATATTCCTGCTTCTTGGCAGAATGGGGTTGGACTGGATGATGGCCCAGCAGGTCTCTTCCAACTCTAGGATTCTAGGATTCAGAGGCTGGATGGCCATCCGTTGGGGGTGCTTTGAACATGATTGTCCTGCTTCTTGGTAGAATGGGGTTGGACTGGATGATGGCCCAGGAGGTCTCTTCCAACTCTAGGATTCTATTAAAATACACAAAGCACAAGGTGTTGTAGGAACCACAACTCCCACAACATTAAGCCCTGGCAGTTAAAGTGGTGCCAAGCTGAGTTTGTGGCGCGCCTTATAAAGGTCTGCATGGACAACTCACTCAAAAGGAGACTAAACTGTGTGGCTGGATGGCCTTGAGGAGCCCCTTCCAATACTCGGGGTCGATGGGAGAGCTTCCCTGAGCATATCAATGCTGCTGTGGGTAGGGTGCAGGTGCATGCCAGCTCTGAAGAAATGCCCATCTGTTGTGCAACGCGACACAAACAGGCTTCGAGATGGTGATCATAATAATTAAAAGAGGTGCTGCTCATCAAGGAAGAGGTGCACCAGGCCTCCTCCTCCTCCTCCTCCCCGAAGTGCCAGCAGCGCCTTGGCTTCTGTGCCCAAAAAGTGGCATGCCAGCCGTGACTCAGAGCGCCTGCCTTCCTGCCCGTCGCCCGGTTCTCCCTGTTTCCTGCCTTCGCCTTCTTCCTCCTCTTCGCCTTGCACTCATTATCCCCAGAGTTACCTTCTCCCCACCAAACAGGGCTCTTCAGGCTTTTCAAACAGAGGGACTTTGACTCCCTCTGAGGCTGAGAGAGTGGGACTTGCCTGAAGCCACCCCTTTGGGTCTAGAGACATAATCCAAAGTTCAACCCAATAAAACACACCTTCTGAATTCCTTCTCTTTTTCCTTTTTTTCTCCCTTTCCTTCCTTCTTTCCTATTTCCCTCCCATCCTCTCCCTCCTTTTCCTTCTTCTCCCTTTCCAGTGTCCTTCCCTACTTTCTTCCTTCCCTTTTTAATTTCCTTTTGCTTTCCTTCCCTCCCTCCTTTTTCCTTCGTTTTCCCTCTGTCCTTCCCTCCCTGTCTACCTTCCCTTCCCTTTCCTCCTTTCTTTCCTTGGTTTTCCTTCCATTCTTCCTTTCTTGCCTTTCTTTCTCTCCTATTTTCCTTCCCTCTCTCCCTTTCCTTCCCTCTCTCCTTCCCTTCCCTCCCTTCTTTTTCCTTCCTTGGTTTTCCTTCCCTCCTTCCTTGTCTTTCACTCCTGTTTTCCTTCCCTCCTTTCCTTCTCTTCCTCCTTTACTTTCCTTCCCTCTTCCTTTCCTTCCTCCCTTTCTTTCTCTGCCTTTCCTTCCCTCTCTCCCTTTCCTTCCCTCTCTCCTTTCCTTCCCTTCCTTCCCTCTCTTCTTTTTCCTTCCTTGGTTTTCCTTCCCTCCTTCCTTCCTTGCCTTTTTCTCCTGTTCACCTTTCCTTCTCTTCCTCCTTTACTTTCCTTCCCTCTCTTCCTTTCCCTCCTCCTTTTCTTTCCTTGGTTTTCCTTCCCTCCTTCCTTGTCTTTCACTCCTGTTTTCCTTCCCTCCTTTCCTTCTCTTCCTCCTTTACTTTCCTTCCCTCTTCCTTTCCTTCCTCCCTTTCTTTCTCTGCCTTTCCTTCCCTCTCTCCCTTTCCTTCCCTCTCTCCTTTCCTTCCCTTCCTTCCCTCTCTTCTTTTTCCTTCCTTGGTTTTCCTTCCCTCCTTCCTTCCTTGCCTTTTTCTCCTGTTCACCTTTCCTCCTTTCCTTCCCTCTCTCCTTCCCTTCCCTCCCTTCTTTTTCCTTCCTTGGTTTTCCTTCCCTCCTTCCTTGTCTTTCACTCCTGTTTTCCTTCCCTCCTTTCCTTCTCTTCCTCCTTTACTTTCCTTCCCTCTTCCTTTCCTTCCTCCCTTTCTTTCTCTGCCTTTCCTTCCCTCTCTCCCTTTCCTTCCCTCTCTCCTTTCCTTCCCTTCCTTCCCTCTCTTCTTTTTCCTTCCTTGGTTTTCCTTCCCTCCTTCCTTCCTTGCCTTTTTCTCCTGTTTACCTTTCCTTCTCTTCCTCCTTTACTTTCCTTCCCTCTCCTTTCCTTCCTCCCTTTCTTTCTCTGCCTTTCCTTCCCTCTCTCCCTTTCCTTCCCTCTCTCCTTTCCTTCCCTTCCTTCCCTCTCTTCTTTTTCCTTCCCTCCTTCCTTCCTTGCCTTTTTCTCCTGTTCACCTTTCCTTCTCTTCCTCCTTTACTTTCCTTCCCTCTCTTCCTTTCCCTCCTCCTTTTCTTTCCTTGGTTTTCCTTCCCTTCTTCCTTTCTTTCTCTACTGTTTTCCTTCCCTCCTTCCTTCTCTGCCTTTCCTTCCCCCTCTCCCTTTCCTTCCCTCTCTCCTTTCCTTTCCTTCCTTCTCTTCTTTTTCTTTCCTTGGTTTTCCTTCCCTCCTTCCTTCCTTGCCTTTCTCTCCTTTTTGCTTCCCCTCTTCCCTTCTCTTCCTACTTTCCTTTCCGCCTTTCTTTGTTTTCCTTCCTTTGCTTTTTCCTTCTTATATTTTCCTTCCCTCCATACCTTCTTTTCTTCTTTCCTTCCTTTCTTCCCTCCCTTCTCTTTCCTTGGTTTTCCTTCCTTCCCTCCCTGCCTTTTCCTTTCCCTCTCCATTCCTTCCTCCCTTCTTTCCTTCCTTCCTCCTTCTCTTCCTCCTTTCCTTTCCTTCCCTCCTTCCTTCCTTCCCTCCCTTCCCAACTCCTTCCATTTTTCATATATTTTTTATGGCCAAGCTCTGGGGAATGGGCGAGAGGACGAGGGTTTTTCCTCCGCTCCTTCTCCTCCTCCTTGCATCACCCACTGCGCATCCTCTGCTCCCAATTACGCACCCTGATTCAGCGGCTGATTCAGAGGCGCCAGGAGAGGACGGCGTGTGCGGCGAGACCCCCGGCATGGAGAGCGAACCCCGGGGGCTGCATCAGGACCCAAAATGACCTTCACCGGTTGGAGAGCCCATTGGCCCAGAGTAACACAATGCAATACAATGCTACACAATGCAGAGAGACACAATGCAACCCAGAAAACCCTCTCGTTGGTCATGTTTTGAAGGACTGCCAAGAAGTCCTGTGGAGCCTCCTTCCTTCGCTGGAGGTTTTTAAGCAGAGGCTGGGTGGATGGCCTTCTGTCAGGAGGGCTTGGGTGGTATCCTTCTGTGTTGTGGAATGGAGTGCGTTAACCTGGAGGGTCCTTAGGGGCGGGGGTCTCTTCCCATTGTGTGACTTCCTAACAGAATGAGCAGAGAAGTCTTATGGAAACCAGGCAGGAAAGAAGATGGCTCTCCTTTGGGACACATGCAAGAGAGTCCACTTAGGGAGGAGGCTTCCTTTCTGACGCCCTGGACACTAGGATGCAATGAAGCCATGGCTTCAAACTATAGGAAAGGAAGGAGATTCCACCTGAACATGACGAAGAACTTCCTGACTGTGAGAGCCGTTCAGCAGTGGAACTCTCTGCCCCGGAGGGAGTGTGGTGGAGGCTCCTTGTTTGGAAGCTTTTAAACAGAGGCCGGATGGCCATCTGTCAGGGGTGCTTTGAATGCAATATTCCTGCTTCTTGGCAGAATGGGGTTGGACTGGATGATGGCCCAGGAGGTCTCTCCCAACTCTTGGATTCTAGGATACTATGATCCGTGGGGATACTAAGGGGCTTGTTTATAAAGCTATTCCCCTCCCAACACTGCTATATGCCTGCGAAACATGGACTGTCTACAGACGTCACATGCACCTCCTGGAACGATTCCATCAGCGCCTGAGCTCTGCGAGTGCAGCAGTCTTCCAAATGAAGCAGAGAGTGTTTGAGGACCGGGACATCCATAGGGATACCAAGGGGCTTGTTGATAAAGCCATTCTCTCCCAACCCTGCTCTACGCCTGCAAAACGTGGACTGTCTACAGATGTCACACTCAACTCCTGGAACGATTCCATCAATGCTGCCTCTGAACAATCCTGCAAATCTTTTGGGAAGACAGGCGGGGAAACATCAGCGTGCTGGAAGAAGCAACTGGGAACTGGGAACCACCAGCATTGAAGTGATGGTCCTCCACCATCAACTCTGCTGGACCGGCCACGTTGTCTGGATGCCTGACCACTGTCTTCCAAAGCAGTTGCTCTATTCCCAACTCAAGAATGGAAAATGGAATTTGGAGGACAGGAAAAGAGATTGAAAGATGGGCTCAAAGCCAACTTTAAAAACTCTGGCATAGACACTGAGAACTGGGAAGCCCTGGCCCTTGAGCGCTCCAGCTGGAGGTCAGCTGTGACCAGCAGTGCTGCAGAAGTGTCACAAATGGAGGGCGAAAGAGAGAAATGTGCGAAGAGGAAGGTGCATCAAGGCAAACCTGATTGGGACCACCTTCCACCTGCCTTCACTGTGAGAGAACATGCAGGTCAAGAAGAGGGCTCCACAGTCACCTACCAACCCACCGCCAGGACACCGAACTTGGAGGAGAGTCCTACTCGGGATCACCTAAGTAGTAGTAGTAGTACATTGGCAGAAATAGCCTTCCTTTGAGGCTGAGTGAGTATGACTTGCCCAAGGTCAAGTGGGGATTTGAGCCCAGTCTAAGACTGAAACCTTGACTCCAGCTTCCTCCCCGGAGGTCAAAATGCAGGAATTGAACCACGTGGATCTGGAAAAAGACCCTCTGGAAGTCTTTATTGGTGAAAAATATATATATTTATATCTCTTTAGCGGCCCCTGAGAGACATTTGCTCTGCATGGGACTCAGACATTCTCCATCCAAGCCCAGGATGGAGACCTTGTCCACAAGGAACTTGGAGTCTTGGTGCCAAGGAGGGGTCGACTGGGCATCTCTCGCCCTGCCAAGGTCCCAGTCGGAGGAAGAGGCCTCTCTCTTTGGGCCCAAGGCCCCTCTTGGCTTCTCTGCCCATCACAAAGACCTCCAGAGAGAAGGTTGCGGATCAAGAGGCCACCCTGGTTTCCAGGAAGCTGCTCTGGGTTGCAGATCCCCCCAAGTCCTGCCATTAGTCCAAGTGTCCGGAGGAGGAGGAGGAGGAGGAGGACGAAAGGAGGGTCTTTGGCCTCTCTTTGGGCACCTTCCTTCCTTCCTCCCTCCCTCTCTTCCAAGGCAGCTCAGCTCTCGAACCACTTGCCCCGCTTGGCCGGCAGACCGCTCCGTCCGCTGCCCAGGATGCGGCGCTTGTACTGCTCCACCAGCTGCTCAAAACGGGCCTCGGCCTGGCTGCCTCTCGCCCGGCGCTGCTTCTTCTTGGGCATCTGGAAGGGAGAGCAGTGGTAGGGGAATTCCTTCCAAAAGGGCATGGGAAAACTTGGGCCCTCTGGGTGTTTTGGACTTCAACTCCCACCATTCCTAGCAGCTTCAGGCCCCTTCCTTGTCACACTAAGGCCTTCCTCACACTGAGGCCTCTCTCAGACCAACATTTCTCTCCAGATGTTTTAGGCCCCTTCCTTTTCACACTGAGGCCTTCCTCACACTGAGGCCTCTCTCAGACCAACACTTCTCTCCGGGTGTTTTGGGCCCCTTCCTTTTCACACTGAGGC